GGGCGATGAATACTTTTGCCTATTTCCCCCTTTTTTTTTCTGGTTAGTTCAGTAAAAAATGCTGTGAGAGTACAAGCGGAAAAAAGTAAGCCAATCGGGGAGGCAAGCGGGACGTCTTCGAACTAGAGGCGACGGGTGATGTTTGCCTGGGCACTCACGTCCATTGCTTTATGCTTCTTTTTTATTCTGTGCATGTATGTGTGTGGTTGTCGTTGTTGTTGTTTTCTTCCTTTGTGTGTGCGTATTGAGTGGGGGAGGGGCTGGAAGAGGGAATTATGAATTTAGTACTACATTCATAATTACATCCTTCCTTCCTCTCGCTTGCCTCCGTTCGGGTGGAGTAGGACAACGGGGATGCGGAGGACAGTGTGGAGGGAGCAGGAGGAAATAGAGCGGGAAGGGGGGAATAAAGTATAGGGCGGGGGGTGAGAGGAGCTTGCAAGGGGCGTGGTTGCAAGCAAAAGCGAGGGACCACAGTTATGCAACCCAAGGCCTTTGTCCGTTTTCCTGGCTTCGTGTCCGTGGTGCTGCGCGTCACCTTCTGCCCCCTCTTTTTTTTTTTTGTTGTGTGTGCACTCGCTCTCATTGGTAACGGCTATGGACGGTGAATACGCACAAATGCCGCACACTCATCCGTTCCTTACAAAAACACAGTGTAGAAACATTTTTAGACGTTTCATGTCTTCCTCGGCGGTCTTGTTTGTAGGAAATATTCCCACAGTCACCAACGTCCAATACCTTGAGCGTCTTTTTTCTGCCTATGGCCACGTGAAACAAGTCAAGATGCTCCAAGAGGGCCCTAGTCAGTACGCGGAGGTGACGTATAGCGCCGTGGATGACGCGGATTGTGCCATAGCCGCTCTTCATTCTCGCTACTGCGCGTCAAAGAATCTTCCTCTAGTGGTTATGTACCACCGTAGCAGTCCGTCGGTTTCGGAATACGGACGTGCGGTGGGCAAGGAGTACGCTGCGGCCTTTGCAGAGGACCGCGACCCTTTGCCCATACCGCTAGAGGTCTTCGACGTGAACTTTGAGCGAACCGACGTCCCACCCCCACCCTCAGAGGCGGAAATGTTTGAAGGATCCAACTGGAAAAGCTATAATGGTGCTTCACACGAAGGAGGGGAAGCCGTTTAGTCATTCATTTATTTTATTATTATTATTATTATTTTTTATCTTTTCCTGCTTCCCGTCTAATTTGCGGAGTATTGCAATTGCTGTGACGCCAATGCTCCTGAGAAAGTAATACACAATAATGAAAACGAATCAAAAACCTGGAAGCGAGATGTGAACGATCCCAATTATTACCCACTTATTTGCGCCCCAGTGATGCACACGCTCACGCACACACACACACACACACACACACACACGCAGGCTGCGTCTGACTGCAGAATAAATAGTGGTCTTTGTTATCTTCTCTTCTTCCTTGCAGAGTATATTGTACGGTAAAGAATGACCGATGACCAGGCTTCAATTCCCTTATCGTTCGCTAGTGCAAGGGAATTGACTTCCGGATTGCAGGGGTTTGAAGTCCGCCAAAGACCGTACCAAACAGCCACCCTAAGGGGAGGTGTTTTAAGACATGCATGGGAGCTTGCACCGCGCGGCGCTGTTTTTTACCTAAAGCGAAGTTTTGGAGAACCACGCGAAGTGCCGCTCCTGTCGCTTGGCCGTGGCACATCGGATCCTCCCCAGGGAGAGACGAGTGTTGATGGATCGACGAATGTTGCCGGGGACCCCCTTGAAGTTCCTGGAGTGACTCAACCGACGTTGGGGCAGCTACGTGCAACTGCAATTGCGGGAAACGACATTACTTCATCTTGTCTCTACACAACGGGGATCGTCGTCTCTGCAGCTGGCCGTTTTTCGTGTTTTTCTTCTTTACTTGTTTCTATTGTTTTGTACCTTTTTCGTGGGGTTTACGCGGAGGTGTTTAGCGCCCTCCCCATGAATGGTGGGACTTATAATGCCATGCTGAACACAATTGATAAAAACTGGGCCTCTCTGGCAGCTATTTTGTCCACCCTCAGTTACATTGCGACAGCCGTGACAAGTGCCGCATCTGCTGGGGACTATCTTGCGTTTCAATGGAGTGCGATACCATCGAAGTGGAGTTCTTTGGGTGTCCTCGCTTTTTTTGCCATCTTGACTCTACTGGGCATGCGGGAGTCGTCCTATGTGGCAACCGGTGTTTTTATTATTCATATGGCGACACTTTTTACGATACTCATATCTTCTCTCGTTTACGTCGCAAAAGACCATGGCCAGGTGCTCCGCAATAGCTGGAACTCTCCATCTCCAGTTGCTAATCCGTACGATAACTGGGCGGGTTGTATTTTCTTTGGTTATTCCAGTGCATTGCTGGGAGTGTCAGGCTTTGAAACCAGTTCCAATTACATTGAGGACCAACTGCCAGGAGTATATCCAAAGACGCTTCGTAACATGTGGCTTGTTGTGACTCTGGTGAATCCCGCGTTGTCTATACTCGCAATTGGTGTTGTTCCCATTGAGAAATTGGTGCAGAATTCAACTTTCAGTTTGGCGCTATTGGCACAGACAACCGTGGGTGAGTGGCTTAAACTGGTTGTTGTGGTGGACGCTGCCTTGGTTCTATCGGGGGCTGTCCTTACCGCGTACATTGGTATCCAGGGCCTTCACCGACAACTGGCTCTTGATCGTGTCATACCTGCCTTTTTCTTGTCTGTAAACCGTTGGCGCGGAACTCCGCATTTTATCATCATCGGTTTTGCCCTCATATCATGCTCGCTGCGACTCCTCGTGAACGACATGTCGACACTTGGAGGCGTCTACGCCGTCGCCTTCTTATGTGTACTGATGCTGTTGTGCTTAGGCAGCTTTTTCCTCAAGTACAGGCGCGGCAAATTGCCTAGGAAACCCATCATTTCTCCCATCCTTGTGCTACTGGCATTGCTCTTGGTTGTGGCGGGCCTTGCGGGCAGCATCGTACGCGCCCCTCAAAATGCCCTTTACTTCGCCATCTACTTTGTTGTCCTCCTGTCCATTGTGGTCGTCACAAGAATGCGGGTTTCTCTGTTTCGGCTGTTGTACGACCTCGTCCCCGGACGCTACCCTCGCGTGAAGCAGCGGATGAGTTCCATTGTTGCATCGCTGCGGCGGTTTCCCGTGGTGTACTTTGCGAAGCAGCCTGAGATTGACGTGTTGAACAAGGTCATTCAATACATCATTGACAACGAGGACACACACACGGTAAGGGTCATCCACATGCTCGACGCAAGCTACTCACGCGACTCCAGCACGGTATTCATGAGCACCTGCCCAGACGAGTACGTGCACAATAAAGAGGAAGAAGTGAAGGCGGGTAATAATTTGGCGTTGAAAAATAAAGCTGAGCAGACAGCAATGCAAGAAATGGAAACCTGCTGCGCCATCATTGATCAACTTTACCCAAAACTGACAATCGAACTCCTCTTCGTGCTCGCCCCATTCACCCCGAGGGCCGTCTACGAAGTTTCGGCCGAGCTTCAAGTGCCACGCAATTTTATGTTTATGGGTTGCCCTGGCGATCGCTTTCCACATAGTCTTGTTCAATTTGGTGGCCTACGTGTTATCACGTACTGAGTCGTTGACACGCAGCGTGTGTGTGTGTGCGTGTGTGTGTGTGGTTTTTTTATTAAAGAGATTTCTTGAGGAATAGTCACTATTTACGTGTTTTATGTGCAACAGACACCCTGAAAACCATCTCGCCATGTTTTATTTTTATTTTTATTTTTATTTTCATGGTTTTTATTTTTGTAGAGGCAATGAAAATGCTAACTGCTGGTAGACCCCTCACGGCCATCCCTCCCCGCCTCGGCGCGCGGAGCCGGGGTAGGAGCCACATTTAGCATTGTCCTTTTCGCAAGTGATTTAGTGATATGTAAATGCGAAGGAGGTGATTCGGGCTCGATATTGGATTAATGTTCATGTGTTCCTCATAGCACTACACGATTTTTCAGTCTCACCCTACTCGTTTTTATTTTTAGGGATAAATAAACACTAGGCTATTCCTCCTTGTTTCTCGTATATATTTATTGAGGTGAGCTATTATTGCTGCTTCTGCTATTCTTGCTTTGGCTTCGTCCAGTCGCCCTCGCCTTCTCTTTCTTCAATTTTTCCTCTTTGCGACACCCTCATGGCTCTCCATGAGTAGACGCCTGCATGCTTGATGGCAACCGCTTGCGATGGTTCCACTGGTTCACTTCAACACCTCCATCGCGAGTATGTGGCGTTACTGGAGGAGTTGCACGTGCTGCAGACGGAATGGCACAGTGCGGCGTCACGCAAACTAGTACTGGAGGCATCTGCAGCCTCGACTACCGCACAAACTGACGCGGTGAAGCCTATTCGGCGTCGTCTCTCGGAGTTGCAGAAGGAGCATGCGCTGCTTGGCCAACAGAGCAAATTCCTTCAGGCGCAGGTGGAGGAGGCGAAGAAGCTGTACAAGAGCGTCTGTGGGGAGTCCTCCATGCTCGTTAGGGGTGTCTTTGATGATAGGCAGAAGCTGGAAGAGGAGTATATGCAGGTGATGCGTTTAGTTGACCAGTTTGACCCAAACCTGCAAGAGGACGCGGCCCTGGTGAAGGCCGCCCTCGCGGAGCAGCGCGTGGAGATGCGTGTGCTGCAGGAGACATTGGATGCCGTGAAGCAGTCCATGGTGCCTAATGAATTTGGTGGGCTTCCGCAACACTCCAAGGCGCTGCTGACGCTGCCGTCAAACCCTCTCGTGGAGGTTCCCATGGACGAGGTCTTGGTCCCGGTGCCGCATGGAAGACTGCGACTTCTTACCGGTCCCCGTGGCGATGGCCTGCAGCAACTGCGGGACCGACACAAGGTGGCGGCGTCCGTTGTCTGTCTCAACGAGACGGTGGCGGTGAGGGTGCGGGGGCACACGGCAGGCGTCAAAAATTGCGTCCTTGACATTCGTCATGCCTTGTCTTGCTAAGAAAACGAGGAGGAGGACGGCAGGAAGTTCGAAAAGAGGAGAGGGTGCAACAAGCACAGCAGCAACTCTAACAAAGGAAGTGAAACTCCCACGCTCTTTCTCTCTTTGTCTTTTTTTTCTTTTTTCTATTCTTGCCTCAGCGTATCGCCCTGATTTTTCAATTATTATCTGAGCCTTTCCCCCGCCCCCATCATGATCGCTGGCACAGCATATTTCCCCAGTGTTCATAAGCGCCTCTGACATCTATTTGTGCTTCTCTGCCCTCTGCTTTTTTTTCTTTTTTCTTTTCCTCCTCAGTGCACCTTCCCAGGCTGCTGCTGTTGCTTCCGTTGCTGTTGTAGCCCGGGAAACGCGATGGACGCAAACAATGCCCGTGTGGAGCGGCTCCGCCGCGTCAACCGCTACAAGGCGGTACAGGCGGAACTTGCCCTTCAAAGGGAGGAGGAGGAGTTCAAGGCGAGTCGGGAAAGGAAGATGAACGCTGCGGCTCGCGACGAGGCTCTCGCAAAGCAGCTGGCGGAGGAGCAGCGACTCGACTTACTGGACACAAAAATGCTTCAACTTGTCCGTACTTTTCCGGAACTTCGGAACCTGGAGGGACAGCTAAAGCACGCCTTGATGAAGCAAGGGCGCAAGGATCAAGTGGAGGAGATGCGGCAGTTACGAGAACGGCAGTTGCAGGAGGAGAAGGACTACATCGCTTACTTGAACGAGCAAGAGAAACTTGCCAAGGCCAAGGAGGAGGAACGCCGTAGAAGAGAAATTGAGGCGTTTCAGCGGCACCAGGCAGCGCAGCTGGATCTCATTGGGGAAAGAAAAGCCGTTGCTGAAAGAGAGGCCGAGGAGCGACGGAAGGAGCGGCTAGCTGTTGACGCGGTAGTGGCCCGAGTCCACGAGAAGGATTTTCTTGAGGCCTTGGAGCGGCGTGAAAAACAACGAAAGTTGCAAGTTGAACACGATGAGTTTTATCGGCTCCGTGCAGAGATTAAAGAGGCAGAGAGACAACGCGAGTTGCGGGAAGAAGAGGCCATCAACGCCTACATCGCTGAGCAGGGCCGTCGGAAGGAGACAGACGAGAAGTTGGCACGAGAGAGAGAAGCTACCAAGACCAGAATTCTCGAGGAGCAGAGCAAGAAGATTGCGGAGGAGCAGGCCAAACGTGAGGAGCTGGAGAGCTTGTTAAATGACTACTACGAGGCTGAGCGTCTGGCGAAGGAACGCAAGGCGATGAAGGATGAAAAGGAAGCACGGGAGAGGTTTGCAGAGGCGGTGAAGGAGGAGAATTGGAAGCTCATTCAGGCTCACCAGAAGGAAAAGGAGGCAGAGCGCGCCGAGGAAATCAAGTTGCGCCAGCTGATGATGGAAGATCTCGCACGAAAGGCCAAAATGGACCGGTTGTCACGGCAACGCCAGTTGCAGCTGAAGCAGGAACACGCACTGGAAGCAGAAAAGATGCTCGAGGCGCGCAGGGAGCTCAAGCGGGAGGAGGAGCGCCAGGCTGCTCTTCTCGAGGAACAGGAGAGAAAACGTCAAGAGGAACTGCTAGAGTACATTCGTCGCGCACGTGCGCAACTTCTTGCTGATTATTTGCCACGACTGGGCGAATTTGTGCCAGCACATGTGCTCACGGTGGAGGAAAAGAAACAGTATGGCATCATAAAGTGAAAGCTTTTGTTTTTTCCCTCTGCCTCTATCTCTCTGTGTCTGGGTGTGTGTGTGTGTGTGTGT